GCAAGCCCTTCCCAGTTACAGCTTTGTTAGTAGATCTGGTTGTTTCTGACTTTTGCACCTGAGCTAGCAGCCCCTGTTCTGTTTTGATTACGTCCATCTTATAAATAGGCATTCAGCGTCTTGGCAGCAAACAGATGGCACATTCCGGTGGGGTGACTGAGGCACCAGGAGTGGAAAAGGGTACAAGGCACCTTGTAACAGGGAATGGGAAAACGTCCAGATGCTAACGTGAAGACTTCCATCAGCTCTGTATCTGCAGGGACAGGGAGAGAGATCCACTGCAGATCAGAGAGTGTCACTGAGCTACAAGAGAGGGGTGTCTGACAGGAGCTGGGGCCTTGGGCTCAGGGAGTCAGCCCTCCAGGGGCTCAGCAGGGAATGAACTTTGGACTTGTATACATGGACCCACCTTCCCTCCCTCTTTCCAGTCTGCCAGTGGTCTCCATTGGCCACACTCACGTGGAAGCTGAGGGCAGGGATCTATGGATATACAGTGTCAGCTGCTTCTGGCCCAGACTGATTGGAAACAGATGGAAAGTTTGGAGGGAAAACAGGAAATATCCAGTTCATGGATGCAGTACTCAGAAAATAATTTCTCACTGCCAAAACTTCAGTAAAGTCAGGCTTTTCTGCCTCTAGTGATTCAATTTTCTTTTTAATCTTAACTTTTTGTCTTCCTAATTGTGGTAGGAAGAATATAAATGAAGACACTTTCCTTGTAGGTGCCAATGCTGTCTTAGGATTTTGAACAAATTTACTTTGGATATGCATTTTGTTTATTTTTCTTTAAATTATAAGTAATAATGTAAATTCTGTCCTTATGCTAGGTAGATTTAATAAAGGTTTATGAAACAGTAATGAACTTTATATATGTAATAATATTTAGATATATCTATATTTTCCCTTTCTCATTAATCTTCTTTCTATTTAAGTTCTATCAGATCATTTTTTCCTATGCCTAAAATATTACCCTTTAATATTATTTTTAGTATGGGTCTACTGGTAAGTAAATCTTTCAGTTTTTTGTTTAGAAGACTTTTCATCTTATGCTAATATTTTAATGATATTTTTGCTACATTTAGAAGTCAAACTTAGCAGTTATTTTGTTACAGAACTTTGAACAGGTCAACCCATTGGGCATTTGGCTTCTGTAAATACTCTTGAGAAGTTAGATATTTTAATTGTTATTTCTTTGAAAATAAATTATCCCTTTCTGGCTGCTTTAGTGTTTCTCTAATTTTCATTTTTAGCATTCTTACTATGATGGATTTAAGGTTGTAAGTTTATTCATAACTGTTTTTTCCTAAACCACTTTGTAAATGATGACCAAACATTTGGGATATTAAATTATTTTTTAATAGAAAAATAATAAAACATTAGGGTAAAGGTTAGATAATATATGGTAAGAGGTTATTACTTTTATGTATTCCTTATTAACATTGCCTTTGTTTTTTGGTACTGGGGATCAAACTTAGGACCTTGTGCTTGTGAGGCAGGCACAGTGCCACTGAGCTAAATCCCCGCCCCTTTAACATTGCTTCTTAATAGAAGAATGATAATAATTCAGGAAGCCAGTCAGGAAAGGTTAAAGAGCATCTAGCAAGTTCACGGTTTCTCTCATCTGTGCTAGGAAGGTAGAAGAGAAGGAAAAGTTCTTTCTTTGTCTATCTAGAACACTGTGCAAGAAGGTGATTGTTAGAAGTCTGTTGCTTATCGTAGTAAAGTATAAATTTGTTAGCATTCGCTTCTGTGTTTCTCATTTTATGATGAAATAATGCACTTTGCAGGGAAGAGTGCTTTTTAATGAAAAGCATTATTATCAACTCTGAAGCATTATGCAGAATTTAAATCTTGGAATGGTTAGGAATTGTTTTTATAAAAGACAGTCTGTTTTATCTAATGAATGTCAATCTGTGTAAAGGCCATTATGCTACTGAAGCAATTTTCCTGTCATACCGGAAATTCATTTTATATTAGTATTACTGAAGTCATGCATAGTAATGTTGCTACTGAGGACAAAAACATCTGAAAAAAGGAAAGCAGGAAAAAGGAAAAATATTGTTATGGACTGCTGTAGCTGTCTCCTCAGAGTCTCAGGTGGTCCTAAGTGGGGCTTTTCAGAGGTGGCTGGATCTAGAGTGTGTGATGCTGGGATTAAGGTGTGTGGTTATCAAACTAGTCCACTGATTGGTCTGGCACAGTTCTGTGCAGGGCCCACCCTGGGTGTGAGTGCTACCCACCCTAAAGGTGTGTGATCCAGACAGAATATAAGGGACAGAAAGGCTGATTTGTTCTCTCTTCCCACCCCCACTCCTCCCTTGTTTAGGTTTTTTACCTTTATTTTTGTTCTGTTCTATTTGTACTCTTTCTTCGACTACCTCTCTTGATTTTATGATACTTTCATGGTGGTGAACAGTGTCTCTTGTCTTTCTGGTTTGCCTCAATATTCAGTTGCTTTCTCCTCCATTCTTTCCCTCCTGTCATTTTCTCCCATCTCCCAAAGCCTAAGTGTTCACCCCGTGCATGCCTTCCAGCCTTGCTTCTACTATATTTCTTTTCACTTATCTGTTTTGTCCCTATTCCTTTTAAATCGCAACCCCCCAGCCAGGGTAAAATCACTCTACTAAGGGGAAACTCATTGCATACAAGTGCCTGGTTTATGTTGGATTTTGTTATAAAAAGGTAGTGCTTGCTTATATGGATAAAGGTACCAAACTAACAGTTACCGCAGTTTGTCAGTTGCTAGGCTGTGCTTGTGTTATTGTTATTGCTAACTGTATTACCTTAGCCAGGAGGTCACACCTGTTGTAATCAGTTGTCCTCCCTTATATGACAACACTGCGATTGGGGTCACAACCATTGCTGTAGTCCAGTACCGAAGGACTGGGTGCTGAGTTCAACAGATAGAAACCTCACATACTTAGCAAACTGGGAATGTAGGATCTTGGGATGGACACAAAAACCAAGAACCATCTCTACTGAGAAGACATCTCTGAGCAATAGGCATTTCCTAGAGAAATCTCAATGTAAGTAATAAAGCTATATGCCATAATAAATCCATAAGCAACAACTCAGAAAACAAAATAAAATAAAAAAGAAAATGACGAGATGCACACAATTAAAATGCATCCCACCAAGGATAAGTCCAGGAGACAATGAGATAGAGGAAATTATAAACCACCTATCAGAACTTTCTAAACTGATAATGGAAAAGTGAAGAAAATGCCCTCATCTGAAGCTATAGAGAAAATAACCTTTCAGGTAAAAAAAGAAATGGCAATTAAAATGAAGGACATGCTCAATGAAGCTAGAGTAGAGATAGGTTTAAAAAAACAGAGGAGCATAGGAAAATGATGGAAAGCATGAATGCCCAAAGTAGGAAGGAAATGGAATCCCTAAGACAAATTTAAACAGATTTCCAGGAGATTAAAAACTCTATAGATGCTTCGTAAGCACAAGGCCCTGAGTTCGATCCCTGGCACCAAACAAACAAACTCTATAGAAAATATTTGTAATCATTTGAACCAAGGTAATGGTAGCATTTCAGAAGGCAGGACTGTAGTTACTGACCATGAAAAGAAAAATTTCTTAAAAATACTAAGAGACTGGGCCAGGGATTTAGCTAGTGGCACCATGCCTGCCTTGCAAGGTCCTGGCTTGATCCTTGGTACAAAAAACAAAACAAAACAAAACAACAATAAATAGTAAGAAAGCATGGAAAACCATTCTAACAATTTCTAGGTGATGCAAAGACAAACAATATAAGGTTGACTGGAGTCAATGAGAACAGCAGAGATAGCACAAATGCCACGCAGTGCTGTTCAGAGGAGCAGTGGCAGAAAACTTGCCAACTTGAAAACAGAATTTGACATACAGATAAGTGAGGCACATAGAACTCCAAATAACCACGACCAAAATAAATCCACACCAAGGCACATAATAATCAAGATTCCAGAAATCCAACACAAGAACAGAACATTGAAAGCTATTGGAGAAAAGAAACATCACCCATATAGGAAAGCCCATCAGAATCGCAGCAGACTTCTCTACACAAACCTTTAAGGCAAGGAGAGTTTGGAGTGAAGTATTTCAAGACCTTAAAGAAAACAACCTTCAACCTACATTGATGTACACCACAAAACAATCTTTTAAAATCAACGGAGAAATAAAGTACTTCCATGACAAAGAACAATTGAAGAAATTTACAGTCAACAAACCAGCTCCACAAAGTATTCTAAAGGTCATTTTAGAAAAAAATCACACTTCCAAGAAAACCAGTAGAGGCTGCCAAGCAGGGCAAGCAAGAAACAGAGAGGAAAGACAGGGACCAACAGCAGGAAAACAATAGGATGAGGATGGCGCACTACGTATCAGCTATAACCATCAGTGTGAATGAGCTCACTTCATCAGTCAAAAGAAACAGACCGACAGAATGGATCAGAAACAAGATCCAACAATATGTTGTGTACAAGAAACACATTTAACAACTCAAAACAATTCAGAGATGGAAAGTCAAAGGATGGAAAACAATGTTCCATGCATCAGGAATGCAGAAAAAAGCAGAGGTAGTTATTCTGTCTGTAGACAGTGTGAATGTCAAGCTAAGACTGGTCAGAAGTTACAAAGCTTTTGTAGACAAGAAGGGGAAGAAGAGTTAAAGGGAGGGCTGGAGAGTGGGGAAAAAGATAAGATACATCAGGTACAGGTACAAATTCCATATGATGAGTGTGATTATGTATATCTAAATTGTTGTTGTTTTTTTGGTACTGGGGATCGAACTCAGGTCCTTGTGCTTGCAAGGCAGGCGGCAGAACCACTGAGCTAAATCCGCGGGCCTGTGTCTAAATTGTACCAATAAACCTAATTAAAAATTAAAAATCCATAAATTATTTTGTCTCTAGATGTGTAACAAAGATGTGAAACTCACAGTCTCAGCAACTAGAAGTTACACATTAGTGAAAGTGCTTCTCTCCCCTACGCACATAAATGATGAGAACCTTATCGTTTCTCAGCCCTTTGGCTAAGGTCAAGTGTAGTATCTGTTCTTAAAAGTTTAATAAATGATGAGAACCAGGAGAGTGATCCAGAGGTTGGGGATTCTCCCTTAAATTAAGTGTATCTTCAGCCCTTAAATATTGTGCTTTAGGAAATAGCTCCTTCTGTTCTTACCCAGAAGTTGGTTCTTCGCACAGGGCCTCAGGTTTAGTTTCTTGTACTCAGGGAACTGTGCCCAGAGTGCTGAGCAGGGACATCTCTTTCATATGTGTTCTCCCAGACAGCCAAAATTCTGATGTCTCATCTGAGCCAGAAATGGGATATGTGTTCCTCGTTTAAGGAGACTTCTCTGTCTTGGGCATTAGCAGATGCTCATTTTCTATGGGCTCAACTTAAAAGTTTTAGCTGTTGGATGGAGCAGAAGATTGAGACAGTTCAGGGTGCCTCCTTCTCTAGTCTTTAGCAGAAACATGCTTCCAAAAACGGAAAGTACAAAGTGACAGGAAAAGATCAGAAATGAGGTCAGAAAAAGGAAGTCTTTTCTTCTCACATTCACAGTGCGTTGTTGAGACAATTTGCCCACGAGTCATCACCCAGCCTGGCAAGGCAAGAGCTCAGAATCTCGAGCACTAGAATCTCCAGCTCACCAGTGGGAGATCAGCCCCAAAGGGAAGCTAAGGCAGAGCAGGCTCCACATTCCCTGTGTAGTGTAGTGGGGATCAGGGAAGACTTTCCCAGTGAAACCTGCCCTCCACATCATAAGATCAGCTGCCAGCTCTCTGTCTTTCAGCTGGCAGCTGGAGTCCTGTGATGTATTGGTAGGCATGGGTATTTCCTAAATATCAACCAGGTTTCATAAAAGACTCATATACAGCGTTTTGTAACTTTGCATTTTGGTTATTATCGAAGTCCACTAGGTGATTCTCTAACATCAGTTTTCCCTAATGCTGCTGGTGAAGATAGGACAACAAATCCCAGTCAGAACAAGTCAAGCAGGCCAAGCAAAGAGCACTAATAAATTCAGTAGCTCATACGTCCAAATGCAGCATATACAAAGCAGGAATACAAGATGTCACCTTGACAAGTGAAATGTCCCCTCAAAGAAACGTCATAATCTTCTCATGTTCTCAACTTAAATTTATCATCATTTTATTAAAAAATGTGTAAAAGAGACAAGGCATAAAAATTCAAGGTGTAAGCATTTGACAACAAGGATGACAATTTCTGATTACTTAAATGAGTCACAATCCGGAATCCATGAAGCAAAAGCACTCTTAGCTCCTTGCAGTGATCTCTGTGCAGACCTCCAAATGGTATTGGGGAGATAAAAGTAACTCCCAACCTGCTGGATGTCGGAGTTCATGTTCCTCAAAATTGAAGAATGAATTTTAAGTAACTGTGGAGGTTAACAGTAGGAAGAATTTATTGAGAAAGATAACTCCTGAGTGATGGGAGGGGACCCGAAAGTGGTTTGCTGCAGACTCTACAGATGTGGGCATGAAATGATGTGGGTGCAATGTGGATGAAAACTATGATCAATCAGTGAGATTATAAGTATAACCCCTTAGGTAATATTGGTCCAATGGGGAAGCAAGTCACATAGCAAGATACATGGAAAGAACAAGGACTTTTTTTTGTTTTACAAAGTGATGGATCAGGAGGTCCTGGCCACCCACCTGAGTGACTGATGTCTAGCTAGATTCTACTGGACCAGGCGACACCATTTATAGTACATTCTTCACGTTATTGCTTATCCCACTGGGAGGTACGTAAGCTTGGTCATTTTGTCTTTATCTTGAGGCCTGACCTTGAACAGATGTGCCTCTAGCCACGGTTGTAATGTGCTCTCATCCTCTGCACCGACTCCCGTAAGGGAGCCTTGAGGGCTTATCCCTGTCTGACTGTCTGTAATATTTCTGCTTAACTTAGCTGTCTATAGTATCACCAGCTCAAAAGCCTTCACTGCTTCCACATTTATATGAGTTTAGGATCTCAGGAAGCCTCATTCCGCTTTGTTGTGCCCTGCATGTTGAATCCAGACATATTCCTGCTCATGGTTTCAGCTTTCCCGCTATGTTCTGACCTCTCATGTCCCTCCTTCTGCACCTTTTCACCTACTCTCCACATCCACAGGTGGATGCTGGACTTCACAGTTTTTCTTAGCATCTCAAGAGCCTGCATCGTTTAACCCTTTGTAATTCCCTAGTTTCATCTTTACCAAATCACCCCCTGAACTTTATTTGTTTCAGCTACTCTAGGCTCTTTGCTTCACTGGATTCTTCGTGCAGTCCCTTGTCCTGGAGTCTTTACAGGTTGCCCCTTCTTGTTGAACAAGCTTTTCCTTCTCATCTTTCTTCCCGTTCCTTCACCTTCTCATTCATTCCTTATATTTATCTTGGCTTCAATGTCACTTCCTTAGACCGAAGTCTCTTCTCACCACTAGCCCTAGCTCTCAATGCCCTATTCCCACCACTCTGTTCAGTCCCTTTGAGATCCATCTTTGTGTCTAATCTACTTCCCTTATATAGCATTTATTGAATGGTATTAAATAATTGTACATTCACAAGTAAAGAAACAATTGTAGAGTTATCTGTGGCTCTTTCCTAAAATGTCTAAAATGTTGGGCAGGGAACGCTGTACATCTTCTGTTGAACTGTACAAGTCCCCAGAGCGTAGCACAATACCTGGTCATTATGGGCATTTCGTAAATATTGAGTGCAGGTGGAGAAGGATCGGATTCTCCATTCCAGTGCTTCATTTTGAGAAGCAAACATATGCAGCTCTACCTAAGTGGGAAGACGTCTGCTGGGCCAGGTGGGTCAGCTGAAGTTCACCTGTTTCTCTGAGTGACAGACATCACGGCCTCTTCACCTTTAAATGCATCAGCCTGGCTTCCCAGGGGCTTCGTAAGGGCTCGCTGAGTGTCAGTCAAGCTGGGGCCCCCTTTTGGCAAAAAGCGTGACCAGCGGAAGGCCTTTACGTCAAGTGCTGGATGCTTTTGAAATTGTGATGTGAAAAAGAATACTACTGTGCATTTTAACTACTCGCTTCACTCCTGTGAAGGAACATGGAAGACCCTGGTGAAAGGCTCTGAAGATTCTGAGAATGACCCCCATTCCATTAACAGAGCTCCTACCAGGAGCTCCTACTAACTAGAGTTCCTGCTAGGTACTCGATATTACTCTAGGTATTCAAAGATGAATACATTCCCTGCTTATGGAGCTTATAGCTCTAATGGAGACAGACGTAAAACAATCACCAAACGAATACGTAATGTAACATGTCAGACCAGTGCTGTGGGAGACATGAAGTATAAGAGGTGGATAAAGAGCCGGGGTGCAGGGGCGTGGGAGACGTCTGGTCAGCTAAGTCCCCACGGAGCAGGCTACTTTCTGCCGTGAGGCAGAGAGGAGCCATCCTTGCTCACATCTGGGCAAAGGACCCCGAGAATACCCTGCAACAGGAGTGTGCTCGAGTGGGCCCCTAAGAATGAGAGGGAAAAGGTTCTTTCTTGATATCACCGAGTCCTCACAGGCGTGTGAGTGGCCCTCCTGAGTATGGTATGTGACATACGTGACTTGCTCCGCAGGCCCAGCCGTTTCTGGATGGGTTTATCACCGCATGCTCGGGGCTCCGCTCTGTCACGTTTCTGCAGCCACATGTGATCCCTGCCTCTCAGCAGGGTCTGTCCTGCAGCCCTGGACCAGAGGGCTTAGTAATCGATGCTGCTGTGCTTGGAGAAGGGGGAGGAAATAGGTACGGCCTGTCGCGGGAGGTGTCCAGGGACACCGTGGTGACCTGGGGAGAGGTGCTCGGGTTAGGGACAGATTTTAAAAGCACAGCTGGCAGTATGTGCGATGGAAGTGCTGTGGTTTGTATATGGCTTGTCCTCGCAGGTTCGTGTGCGTGCCTGGACTCCAGACGCCGGGGGAGAGATCTGTCTGCAGATAGAAACCGGGACGCGGCGCAAAGCTGCGTTTAGTGAGCTGGGACCGAATGAGTCCGCCTCTGCTGTGTCCGTTCTCTTCATATTTGAGGCTGTGTTTGTAGGTTGAGGCACAGCTTCTGTGTCCTTGCCCTGTGAAGCCCCGCTCTGCTCTTTCACACAAGCCTACGGCACGCTTTCCCCTGCACTGTCATGTCTGCCACATTGGGCCACGATGGCAATAAAAGTATTTTCCTTTCTAGTCAGACCAGGGTTTATTTATTTTTTTTGGTACCGGGGATTGAACTCGGATCCTTGCGCTTGCGAGGCAGGCCACCGAACCGCTGAGCTAAATCCCCAGCCCATAGACCAGTGTTTTATAGGGGCAGCACCGTGCCTCCTTTCCCCATACCTTCTGTCGTGTGGTAGATGCTCAGTAAACGCGCTGTAAACGAATGATGATGAGTGGAGACGGAATAGTTTCAGGTGCCTGTGTGTCGTCCTGCGGGGCCGAGCGAGGCTTTGCTGCCCTGAACCTGTCGGATCCCCGCAGCGTGAGCTTTCCAGTGAACACTGCGTGCAATGTGCAGATTCTAAGTTGTCACGATTTCTTTGATAGGTAGATAACTCAGAATGTTTGTATAAAATGAAGTTAGAAAAGAGACCGTAGTTTATGATTCCTGTTAATGAACAAGGTTTGTCAAGGCTACCATAATGGCATGTGGGAAATTTGATGACATCTTGAATTCTACTCCTTCCCTTTTGCAAAAGATCTAGCTACTTTTTTCTATTCTTTATCTTTTATTTTGCTCTTTAACTTGTTTGAACTTTGGTTTGTCATAGAAGAGAAACGTGATATTTAAACTTGTGCGTCTGATTTGTTCTACTTAACATTCTCGTCTCAGAGTGCATCCACGTTCCCACACGGGACCAACTTTATCCTTTATGCCGGAGCAGTACTCTACTACATGTAAACAATACATTTTCTTTATCCATTCACATACTGATGGACGTATGGGCTGCTTCCAAGATTTAGCTATTCTTTTTTTTGGTACCGGGGATTGCACTCAGGCCCTTGTGCTTGTGAGTCAGGAGGCAGAACCACTGAGCCAAATCTCTGGCTCCCAAGATTTAGCTATTATGCATCGTGCTGCTATACTCCCTGGAATAGCTGGATTGAATGCAATTTCTGTTTTTACGGTTTTGAGGAATCTCCATAGTGATTTCCATAGTGATGATATTACATTACGTTCCCACCAACAATGTAGAAGGGTTCTTTCTTCTCCACAGCCTCACCAGCATTTGCGATTCTTAATTTCTTGATACTAGCCATTCTTTCTGGAGTGAGATGGAATTTGAGTGCTGTTTAATTTGCATTTTCTAATGGTCAGAGACGGTGAACATTTTTTCATATATTTATTGGTCATTTGTACTTCTTCTGAGAAGGGCCTATTTATTTCAGATGCCCATTTTTTGACTGGATCTGTCCTTTTGGAGATCTAATGCTTCTGAGTTCTTTATGTTACTCCTTGGTCCGAGGTGTAGCTAGCAGACATTTTCTCCTGTTCTGTAGGTTGTCTCTTCACTCTGCTGGTTGTTTCCTTTGCTGTGCAGAGGACCATTAGTTGATTCTTGATTTGATTTCCTGTACAATTGGGTTTCTGTTCAGAAAGTTCTTGTCTTTGCCTTCCAGAGTTTACCTATTTTACCTTCCAGCAGGTTGTTTCTGTTTTAATACCTAGGTCTTCAGCCATTTGAGTTTTAGTTCAGTGCGTGGTGGTGGAGATGAGATTGGCTCAGTCTTCTACATGTGGGCGGCCAGTTCTCCCAGCATCATTTGCCAAAGGGTTTCTCTTTCCTCCAGCACATGTGTTTGGGCCCTTTGTGACCGTTAGATTTTATGCGCATTCTTTTTATTTTAAAAATGATTATTCATTTATATCATTGTATTAGCAGCGGAAAGGAACTGTTCATTTTCTGTCTGTTGTGAGCTCAGGTTCACATCCCTCCAGGTTGTATCTTTGTAAATCGGCCTGGTCAGGAAAAGATAAGTGGATGAATATTTTGAGTTCCACAGATGCTGACTCAAATTCAGTCTGTGGCAGTGGAAAATAGAACATTTTTCGCCTTAGAAAAAGAAAAACAGGTTTTCTTCCAACTTCATTTTATAACTATAAAACAATAAAAATAAATCATTACTCACTAGCTTAACAGTAACTGCTGCATTAGCATTTGGTATTGTTTTCCAATCTGTGTTTTACAGATGTATTTTTATAAATTTAGAATGAAGCAAGTACAATGTATTGCTTTTACATTTAGTATATTTTACTACCTTTTTAATAGCAGATATTTTGGAAGATATGCTTTTTAGGGACTTTTAAACATTCTATGATAAATGTGTCCTGATTTTAAAATATTTTGCTATTTTCATTTGGGTTGTTTCTAAATAATACTACTTAATTATTATGGAAGTAGATTACAGTGTAAAAGACATCTTGAGCATTTTAAGGCTTTTGATATATTTCTAAAATGTTCTTTAAAAGGATTATAATGAAGTTGCATTCCTAAGAAAAGTTTGTTGGTATGTTTGCTAATAACAGGACTGACTCTTTAAATATAGTTTATTTTGGGGCTGGAGATTTAACTCATGATTCGGCCGCTGCCTGCCTTGCAAGTGCAAGGTCCTGAGTTTGAAACCCTGAAAGAAGTTTCTTTTGCTAGTTTAACATGTTAAATGTAGCTTTTAAAAAGAATTTAAAATATACATTTCTTTGATTGTGAAATTTTTTCCATCTATTTTTGACTGTTTTGTTTATGTGTGAATGTCTGTGTGCGTCCTGTGATGTTTTTCTGTTGGGATATAGTCTTCTCTTCATTAATTTGTAACAGTTCTTTACCTATTAGGTTCAATACATGAAATTGTTTTATAGGTTAAAAAATAGTTAACTATCAGCTACTTCATATTGTTCAACTTAAAATTATTTGTTTTTATATTCATTGCCAATGATTTCCCAATTTGTCTTTTGTTTTTCTTACTGTTGTTTTTATAGGTAAATAACAAGTTGAAGATTTTTTTAAACGTTTCCATTTAGAGCTCCTTTCCTTGTTGTATCCTCTTACACCAAAAGTTTTTCCCATCCCAAAGGAAGATAAATAGTTTTGTAGTTTCAAATTGTAAAATTTAGCTTTTAGAATCCATCTGGAATTTTGTTTGAATGCTTTGTTAAGGCCGGGTTCTGTTTACTGAATGATGAAACAATTAACTTCAAACTCCTGAGCTAAACTGTATTGTTTAATTTCGTCTCATTGCTACAGTCACAAAATACTAACATGTACTAAGAATATAATAACATCCTTGACCTTCATTCTTCAAAAAGTATATTATCCTGGTGCCTCCAGTTAGCTGATGTGCTTCAAGGGCCAGAAATAGTTCAGAGACCTTAGTTTCGTCAGTGTTAATTCTGTTTTTCTGTTGGAAGCAACAGGTTACACAATGTTAGATTTACCTGGTGGCTCCTTTCAGTATAAAATTCTATCATTCTGAGTCTTATCTGTCAACCCACTCAGATTGTATTGTTAAAAATAATTTTTAAAAAATCTTGATAGTTATTTTCTTCTGTATACTTAAATTTCACTTTACTTTAAGAGATGTATCTATGGATCTATATCTATAATTTGTCCTTCACATAAAAGTGCCAAGTGATGATAGTGCTTACGCATTTAGTAGTTTTACAGGCTTGTGTCAAAGTGTGTCCGTCCTGGATGTTTTAGACAGAAATTACAGAGGTTTATTTGAATTTTTAAATTTTATCTTAGTGTGCCGTGAAATACAAAATGTAATGTTAAATGAATTCACCTATATTCTAAATTTCTGTTATTTGACTTAAATCATATGCAGAGGCTCTGATGCCATTGATAAGAAAAAAAGTAAATTGTTTAAGTGGCACAATTAATTTAGTCTGAAGAAATAACAGTATCCCCCTGATGCAGTCTTCCTATTTGAACTCCAAAACTTAACATGTTCTGATAACTTCTTAGATATATCCCTTTTATCTCAACTGACAGTTCTTTATTATCTAAAACAGTGGAATAAAACTGATTAGTAATAAACTATCCAATTTAAAAACTAAATAAATTTGGATGTGGACAGATATTTTCATGGAGTCATGCTGTCTTACTTATATTATGGACCACTCAGAAGATAAGATGAAATGGAAGTGGCCGTTTGAATTCAAAGGATGGGTGATTTCCACATTCTCTGAGGAGCCAGACAAAGACCTGACCGTTAGCATTCTGAGCATTCCAGATGCATGTTCAAGTGGAGGCTCTTTCCCCCACCCCGTGTGAGAGTGTGTGTGTGTGTGTGTGTGTGTGTGTGTGTGTGTGTGTGTGTAGGATTGTCTTGGGCTACATATAAAGAACATGTTATAGTTAATGTATATAATTCACAAAACTTCCTTTAACTACTCTTGAGTCCTTAGAGCTGGAGTTACAACTTCCTTGCCACTAGGTGGCTTCAGTTGCCTTTAAAGAAAGATTGGGGCCCAGAGGTTCTATGGGGGTTCTATTCACTCTTTAGGAAAAACCATTTCATTTTCTAAGGTAGATGACAGGACAATTCATGCAATTTAAAGATTTTGGGGGATATCTGACCTCACCTTCTCATTTTAGAGCTAGCATTAGGAGACTTCTCTAAGTTGACTCCTAGTCCTGTCCTCTACCTACTGCGTCAGTGACAGCCGTCTGCTTGCCTTCTGAGGCCGCATCACAGGTCTCCATATCCCTGACTGTACTGGGCCTGGAGGAGGTGCACGCAGGAAGGCTGTGTGTAAGGCAGGTTGTGAAGTGGACGCTGGTGGTCCTTACAGGAAGGATAAAGCAGTGGTTAACCCAGTTAAGCGTCTATATTAATGAGATAGCCAATTGCGATGATTCAGAATTGGGAGTTCAGGCTTTTTATTTATCCAGAAAAAGCCCAGACTCCTACATCTCTTATCTGTTGTCTGGATTCTCTCCTGTTCACTGCTTCTGATGAATAGCAGCATTTTTCATCTTCTTTCATCTCACATTTTTTTATTATATTTGATTAATAGTTAACCTTTAGAACAGAGTTGGAATCTTTTTAAATCAAAGGCTGCTATAGAAAATATAATCAAAACTGGACAAGTCCTTTATCAACTCAAAATGATTTATGGCAAGGTTGACTGTCTTTTGAAAACTAAGGAAGAAGCAAAGAGAGTATTCCTCTTTTTTACTTTCTATAGTAAGTTCAGAAAAATGTAGCAAGTTTTATTTTTAAAATGACCTGTTAAAGTTATCCAGAGTTCGGACTGGGGATTTAGCTCAGTGGCACTGTGCCTGCTTTTCAAGCACAAGTTCCTAAGTTTGATCCCCGGTACCACACACGCACGCAAAAAGTTGTCCTCAATTCCTATATTATGAACAGAATACTAAAACAGAGGTGAGGGAGCCTAAGAGAACAAGCAAGGATGGTGTGTTAGTCCATTCTGCACTACTATAACAGAGCACCAGAGCCTGGGTAGTTTATAAAGCAAAGAATTATTTGGTGGAGGGTCTGGGGCTGAGGAACTCAAGATGGAGGGTCTGTGTGTGCCGAGGGCCTTCTTGCCGCGCTGTTCCACGGTGCACACAGGAAGGCAAGAGTGCCCTGAGAGTGAGCCCAGCCCCAGGGCTCTGGTAACCAGTGTCAGTCCGCTCACCGGGTGGTGCCTGGGCCAGCCGCTCCTCATGCCAGAGGTCCCAGCTCTCCACTCTGCTGCACTGGTGCTCGCTTCCCCGGGCATTGGGGGCCACCCTTCACGCAGCAAATGAGGAGGGCCAGAGATGACCAGGAGTGAAGAGCGTACAGAGACAGCTACGGGAGAGGTTGGGAAGGAGCAGGCCCTTGTTTTCCCTTACGGCCTCCCGTGGTGACTCCGCCCCGGGCTGTCCTGACCTCACTCCTGGTCTGCGCGAAGCTGGCGCCCAGCACCCTCTGGGAGAGGCGCCAGTGTGCGGGGCTTGCTGGTCCCCAGGCTGCACAGGCAGCGGGGTGAGGCCGGCAGTCCTGCGGGGCGGTGTGCAGCGCAGTCACAGCTCAAGCGGGGCGGTGAGGATTTTTCCCATCTGTAGCGGACCTTAGCACAGGGAACGTATACACGATGTTTAAATGTTGGAATGGTGTCTTTGCAGTCAGACTTTAAAAATAGATATGCAGCCGTTTTCTTACGCGTATGTTAAAGGTGGGTTCAGTACAAATGCAGTTAGGCAGGACTTCCTGCGCGGAGACCCTCTTCATGCCGCATCTTCTCTCCCTGCTGTAGCGACCTAAAGGGAGTGATAGTCACTCTCAGTGACCGTGGCCACTTGCAGTGCTCCTATCTGGGGACAGACCCCTCCCTGTTCCGGGCGCCGAAAGTTGAATCCAGAGAACTGAACTACGAAGAACTTGATGCAGAATTGGAAGAACTTCAGAAAATCATCAGAGATGTTAAAGCCCAAGGTACTGACTGCGTCTGCACATTTTTAGGACTCTTAATTTTAGTGTCCGTCGTGAAGCTCACATTGTCTGTACACAGATGTGTGGTGCACATTTTAGTTAATACCCCTCAGGCTTCGTTCAAATCCTATTGTAGAAACGGTGTCGTTCCTTAGTCTTTGTGCTGACTTTGTATATTGCGGCTTCTGAAAACGTGTTTGAAACATGCTTCTGTGTTTCAGAGATGCCCTATCTAGCTCTTCTCTTTAAATTCTAAGAGAAAAGGCACTTCTTTGGGTAGTAGTTTTAGGCTGTGAGAAGAGCATTAAACTTGAGAATGGTCATCTGTTAACTTCTAGTATCCCTGAAAACCTTTACCTGCTTCTTTTAAAAGAAGCCGAAGCAACGCACGAGTTACTCCTCTGATACTAAAAATGTAACATTTTGCCACTTAGTGAAGTAATGTATGTTTGGAGTTCATTAGCCCTGCAAATGGGGTGAAGCCTGTGAAATGTTGATTCTGATGACTCAGAGGCTGATGATATTTTCAGTTCCCGAATTTTGAATAACTCAGTATTATCTTACTTTGGGACTCACAAGGGTATAATTTTATTGTAAATTAAAAGGAGAAACAAAACACCAGTCCCACAGTTTGAGTCGGACATATGAAAAGCATTACTTAAAGTTCTCTTTCCAGGGTCAGGTAAAAGTAGTTTTTCAATGAGAAAAAGTACGGACTGCTTTCACCTAAAAGAAATGTTAACAACGTAAGTAGGAATAATAAGAGAAGCCGAGCATCAAAAGCCAACCAAAACAACAGAAGCAATCTTAATTCTGCCCCAGTCACTTTCCTAGATTTATGTATTTTTGAGTCTGTGGTACAAGATTATGTTCCTCTAGTTCTAAGGAATTGAGATGAAGTATTTAAAAAATATGAGTATTAACAATGGAGTTGTATGCTTTGACTTCACACGTTCTTTTAGAAGTTTTCAAAGTAAACCAGTGGAACAGAGGCCTTTAAAATACCTTCAATTAAAACCTATTTGTCGTCAACACCTTCACGTCAGATGAAGAAAGGTTAGAATTGGATCTGTCATGCTGCAATGTACAATTTTTTAATTCATGTTACCATTATTTTGGTGATTAACAGAATCACAACCCCCATTTGATCATTTAAAAATGTAACAAAGAGTGCACCTATACGAAGCGTGAAGTCTGAAGGGTTTGTTAAGCAATGTGGCTTTTTCTCTAACATTTGTTTCTTGAAGTTTTGCTCTTTCCATAAACAATGAGCTAATGGTATTCTCTTTTCAGCTGTGGTGATTGCAGCCGGGGCCTCCTCCATGCTAGGAAAGTGCTGTACCCTGAACTCCATCACTAGCTCCTGCTGATGGTGCTTTGATTACCATTAACTCTGTGTGTGTGTGTGTGTGTGTGTGTGGGCGGTGTGGGTGTGTGAAATTTCTCAGAAAAGCTCCTAATGATAAAGGTTTTTTTCTTGGCCACCACAGTGATGCCTTTGAGTGAGAAAGTTTAGGCTATTTTACTTTTCAGGACCTTGATCCTCTTGTGTATCTCAAAATAACTGCTAGTTATGCCCAGGATATACCCATAGGCTTGAGTGCAAAGCTCATTTATATTTAGTTAATGTTTGGTATTGTCACTTTTGTGCTACCATTATTTGATTTTATTTCTAAAACAAAGAGAAACTTTTTAGAGAGAAGCTTTTAAACTATTTTACTTCTAGACACGGAAAAAAAATTAGTATTTTGTACCCTTAGAAAAGTGTAGTATGTTGTTTATTAAAATACCTGTACTTATATATGAAAGTACCAAATTGTTTCTTTACAGATTATCAGAAGTTAAAACTCTGAATTTTTGATGACCTCACTCATTTAAATGTCATTTGTCTTAGTGCAGTGGCTTTAACTTGAAAAAAAGGTTGTGGGTTATTATATTTTGTACTTAATAAAAGTGTTTTTGAAGCTTATTTTATGTGTGTAAGTTATATGTGGAATGTATGTTGTATGCATGAAATTACAGTAATAATTTCTGTGTGTCTGGATTCTGAAGCTTTTTGTATTCAGCTCATTAGCATTAATCCTGCCTGGCATTTTTGTCACTGGTAGTCAACAGTATGAGGTGGTGAGGACTTTCTGAGATGGAGTTTCCTTGCAGTTGGAGCAGCTGACTGCATTCCTGGGTCGTGTGGGAAGCACTGGGTACACTGTTGAAGTCACTCACCACACACAGCTGTGTCTTCAGGAAGGGAGAGAGAACAGTCAGACACAGGCATGTAGGTGAGGATGCACCCCATGTGAAATCTGTCTGACAGCACGACAAACTGATGCTTCCCCCGAGTCCCGAAAACTTGGAATTTGGTGACCTTCACTTAAAGTTCTCTGTGGCCACATGCAGTGGAATACCTGATAAGGCAGCTCGAACAGCATAGAGGTTCATGTCTCTCCTATGTGCAAGAAGCCCATGGATGGTCAGTGCAGGGTTGGCTTGGCAAATCCACGGTCATCTGGGATTCCAGTTCCTGGATCCCAGGGCCATCTGTTGGTCCAGGATGGCCTTGGAACTTCTGCCTTCACATCTGCAGCTGAGTCAGCACCCGATGGAGCTTTCCTGGAAGCTACGCCCTGAGCAGCTCCTATTTACGTCTCAGTGGCCACTCCAAGCTGACAAGTAGGCTGGGAAATCAAGTATTTTGGCCAAGTACTTTGTGTTCAGAGTAAGACTGTGTTTCTTTTAGTAAATAATTGGAGAATGGTCATGGGCTGGGTAGCCTTTTGTATTCTGACTGGGCTTAGAAATTCCCTTTTCAGGTTCTGCAGTATTAGTGGCATCCGTTGTGGACAGTTTCTTTTTGTAAGGCGTCGGATTCATGTGGCATTATCCACTTCACCCATTCTCAGTGTGTGAGGATGTTTCCTCTTAGGTCCCAGTGTGCCCTTAGCAGGTCCAGGCTTTGTATACAGACTGATTTTCAGGAAGAAGAGAATGATTCATGTGGCATTATCCACTTCGCCCATTCTCAGTGTGTGAGGATGTTTCCTCTTAGGTCACAGTGTGCCCTTAGCAGGTCCAGGCTTTGTATACAGACTGATTTTCAGGAAGAAGAGGCCTGTTTCTCCCAAGTCTTCCTCTAGGTGGGGAGGAACCACTTTCCCAGAAGCATGCACCAGCAGGCTCCATCCCAGGTTCCCTTACCTCTTCTTTACCGAGACTAACACCCATGTGTATGCCCAAACACACTGATGTCTTTGGAAGACAGTGACCACGATTGGATTTGACCCTGGAGGCTGGAAGAGGTGGTTTTCTCTGAGGTGGAGTTGCGTGTCGCAACAAAATTAGGGTTCTGGCACAAAGAGGGAGGAAGCAAGAGTGGATGTTGGGTAGGCAGCCAGTTTTCTGACGTTGTGTGTACATGTGGGTGTGCATATGTGGACTGACGGCTTGATCCATAAGGCAGCGGTGCTCCGAGGGGTGATCGGACCTGAGGGCTTTAAGGTCATCAGTGGATGAATCCACTCTTATGATGAGACAGGATGTGATGGGAACAGGAGCTGGACCCTCACTGGAGAAAGTGGGTGAGGGAGTGTAACTTTGGGGACAACATCTGCTCCCTAGCTCCTTTCTGCCTGACTCTCTCACCATTTCTGTGCTTCCTGGCTGCCATGAGGTGAGCAGCTGTCCTCCATTGTACTGTTCCGCCATTTCTGCCATGGAGCCAACATGGACTGAACCCTCTGAAATCATGAGCCCAAATAAAACTATCTCCTCTTTATGTCAGATATCACATCAGTGAACTCCTAACATACTTGTTTATAATATCTCATTATGCAACAAAATCATATTTAAAATTATGAAAATACCATGCATGGATTAATCTGTTTTCTATCACTGTAACCAAATGCCTGGAGCTGGGTACTTTATAAAGAAAAGAGGTTTACTTGTCATTTCATTGAACTTCATACACAATTGTTATGACAATTATCATCATTAAATTACTTTTTCATCCTCTGATGTCATCATCATTTCTAGCTCCTGTATGCCACTGCTTCTCTTGTTCACATCTGTCTCTCTAGTGCTTACCACTGAATGGCTGCTACGTACACTTTACTGTATGAATGAATAAAACAGAGACAGGAAGGGCGAGGGGAGACTGTTCTTGGTGTAACTCCATCTCCCTGTTCAGCCTTTGTAAGTACTTGTTGGGCTGTGACTGGTCATGTCTCATTGCCTGAGGTTTGAGTGAAATTTATTACCTTTATCTTTGTGTGCTGAAAGTTGAGGTTAAGGAAGTGATTGAAGTTGCTCATTTTACCACATTTGGAATTCATATCATATAAATCTGCCTGGGAAATGGCTTTGATTTTTTTTTAAGAGTAGTAGCAAAAATTTATTGAGAGAAAGATAGCTTCTGTCTAAGAGAGACAGAAGGGGGCCCATCTTTGATAGTTGTGTATGAGAGCATAATGTAAGTAGTCACGAGTCTCCAAAGATTAACCCTAGGATAAACAGCTCTTCCTCATCGTGAAGATGATCATGCTCCCCTTGCTTTGGTCTGGTAAGGCTGGTACACTTGGAAACAGTCGGCCTCCGTGTGAGAGATCACGCAGTGGGTCGCGTATGGCAGCCCTGCTCTGGCCTCCTCCTTAGCACTCACCAGTTCTCCTGTGTGGAGTAGTCTGAGGGCGCATCTCTGCTTAGCCAGCTGACAGACACACGCATTTTTCTTGCTATGGAAATGACTCTTCCCCCCATTGGGCAGCTTATATAACTTTGCTCAGTTCTTTTAAACAAAGGCTGTTTGAGAAGCAATTCCTTTTCTTTTTGAGGGAAGAACTCTTTCTCTTTGTAGGAAAAGGCCTTATGTGGAAGTGCTCTGTAGTAATGTATACTTTCTTGCTGGTTAATCTGGTGTGCTCTTTTGTGTTTACTAGGTGCTTCCTTCCAGCTTCATTTTCTGGGTGTTGCTATTTTTTCGTTACGAGATTTCCGAAGAGTAACATATCTATCCCACTGGAAAACATGACCACAACTTGCTGTGGTGCCATCTTATGGCCCTCCCTCCCTCCCTCTTTCCTTTCCTTTCCTCTCATTTTCCTTTTACCTTTCCTTCCCCTTCCCCTTCCCTTTCCACCAAGGATTGAACTCGGGTCCTTGCTCTTGAGAGCCAGGTGGCAGAATCACTGAGCTAAATCCCCAGCCCTCTTATGGCCATTTCTCTCTGGCTACCATTTATGTTCCCGAAGCGTTACTGTCTTTGAAGATCCAGGTGTTTGAGGTAGACTGAAAGAGCAAGAAACAGGAGATACCAATTTCTCTTCCAGAAATGTGGGCGGTTTCATGAGAAACAGTTCCTGAGTTTTAGATGACACGGTAATGGAGCAGAAAGACAGAATCAATCTCCCAAGTCTCAAGTCTGCTGGTGCCCATTACATCACAGTGAGCCCATTACTTAGAAGCGGCTTAGGTTTTCTTAGTCAAATTCCAAATAGCGCATTGGATCTGATGCATTGGTTGGACACAGGCACATTAAAAAGCATTGGATCTGATGCATTGGTTGGACACAGGCATTATAATTGGATTATTTATTAGAATTTATATGGGTGTTATTGGAAAATGTATTAGGCTATAATAGAGTGACTCTTTTTTTCCTGTCAATATATGACTCATTAAACCAAGTTATCAGGAATATTTGCCTATGGTACTGTGAGTTCAATGAGAAGTAGCGCCCCCTACCCCAAGCTGATGGTCAGAGAGGCCATGTTGAGTTAGTTTGTGATGTGCACTGATAGAAAAAGTGCACTTCCTTTCTCATTTTCTAGGTGTAAGACCACTCAGTCTCTACATCATGAATTACATGTCTTAGGTTCTTCTAATTAATCTGAATAGAACAGTGATTTTGCGAGTTGAAATATAGAAGCACCTAAACCATAATGTTTATCCAGAAAATGCATAATGGCATGTTTATCCAGAAAATGCAAGGAGATGGTTTCTCCCCCATAACATAAAAAACAAATTAATAGAATTAACACTTTTGACATTTAAGTAAATTAGGAATTACAGTGGATTGATAAGTATGTGACCTTTTCTTTCCTTTTGAGTTCTGGGTTTTGAAGATTAGCTTACGATGTTCCACAGAAAGGCATCCAGAAAGCCACCGTGACTCATTTTCGTGACTTATAAAGTATCTTCATTTTAGTTTAATTGCTGTGATGGTTAATGCACACTTGTTGTACACAGTAGAGGGCTTCACTGTGATGTTCCCGTACATAGCACACACCGACTCTTAGGCTGCCATTGTAAATCCTTTCTAGTTAGTGCCCTGTTTGATGGTGGGAAATGTTTATTGTGCCACTGTGTTGACTTCTTGGTGGGTAATACTGAAATTATTCTGTCC